GATCCTTTCATCCAACGCTCAATGATACTTCTCATAATTAACATGATCTTCCCGTCCAATGCATGATGATAATTTCCATAATTAAAGTGATCCTCCCGTTTAAGAATGACACTCCATAACTCACGTGATCCTTCCATCCAAGGTTCTATGATACTTTTCAAAAATTAATGTCTAGCCAATTAACATGTGTAATTAATTATCTGACTAATTAAATGCATGCAGTTGTGGATGAGGCAGAGATTGGACATGAGATTACTGAGACAATTTTTGAACATTAGTGATTGCGGGCAAAAAGGACGAACCTACTATGAACTCTGTTTTTAACAGTACTCCCTCCTGTCCTTTTTACTTTACATATAAGAATTGTTTGAAGTTAAACTTCGTAAAGTTTGATCATAATTATATAAAAAAAACATCTACAATGTTAAAGCCATACAATATGAAAATTTAAGTCACGGCGCATCTAATGATAATGATTTTGCATTGTGAATGTTCGTAATTTTTTCTATAAAATTGGTCAAACTTCACGATGTTAGGCAAATCTTATATGCGAACTAAAAAGGACCGAAAAGAGTAATAGATACTCCTAGATTAGTACTCACTTCGTTTCAAAATAAGTGGGTGTAGTAAACATCCGGGCGCTCTAAGAAAAATGTGTGTCAGAGGGGCTATCATCCATCTTCATTGATGACCTGCGACCATGGGCGTACAGATGTCCAAAATTCCAACGTTATTCACAGATTCACACCGTGAGGTCGAATCTGGGGTGGGCAACTTGTTTCCCAAGAATGGAACAAGAAACTGAAAGTGAGGTCGAAACTGGGTTAACAACTTGTTTCACAAGAAAGGAACAAGGAACTGAAAGCTTGGTCATTTTCAGCACAAAAATATCCAAGAGCGTTGGGCTAACGTGTAGCTTCAGGCTTTGCCTCCCTCACTCATATGGTGTGCAAAGGAATAGAATATTGCAGGAACCACGTGAGGATGGATCGGGCATCGGAGCTTGCCTCAGACTAGGATATATTTATATAGATGGTCTAAAAAAAATTCCTCATATATACGTTCAGTTTTGTATTAGAATGTTTATATACAGGGACCCTGATAGGTGGGTCTTCGCTGGGTAGAGGAAGAAATCATGATTGCAGCTGAGTTTAGACGACGCTTTCACATTGTCCAGGCGTGGACATTGTCGAGATTGATTTAGAGGATGTGTATATTTAGACGACCATATAAACAAGTTGTTGGACGCCTGTTTTAGGTTCATGTTGTGAAAAACGAGTATAGACATCCATATAGACAAGCTATTGGAGATGCTCTTCATAATATGCGTGTAGTTTCTATTTATTTTCGGTCAAAATTTACAAAAACTGACAAAAACAATACTAAATAAATACAATATAAAAATCTGTATCATCATGTACCTAATGATATTGATTTGATATTATGTATTGAGACAATTTATTCTACATATTTGGTCAAATCTGATAAAGTTTGAATTTCTAGAAAATATATGTGCACTACATTATGAATAAAGGGAGTAGTAGTAAGCAACATGTCACACATGTCTTTCATTTCATCTTGATGGGACAATATGGCGTTTGAGATTTTCAAGCCGATGTACCATTGGGCATGAAGAGTGAGCTATATAAAAAACAATGGAAAAAGAGACTTCAAGCCAATATTCGTGAGATAACGTACATGATATTTTAGCAGTATGTTATTATATTATAGCACTATGACGGATATATGGCTTACACAGACAAAACAGAAATAAAGCCTATTCAAAATGGATGACAATTTTCTTGTAAGTATATCCAAATGTTTTTTCACAAGTCATTTTAGTAAATATTAATTCTTGCCTTGGATTATCTTGTTGCGATCCTACAAATCGGTTCAATTAAAACCTTGGATTCATACTAGAATCACGATGATTTAGTCTCAAGCTAAAAAAGGGGAAAAAAAATCTTCTTTAGGACCCCAATAGCCGTCGAATGTTCGCTTTGAGGGGTGGCATTTGCGAACGTTTTTGCCAATAGATTCTTCAACGATGCATGGCAGTTTCTGGGAAGAAGGGATTTTTTTAGACAAAACGGATAGAAACTGCCAACGTTTGATCTCGTGTCGCAACTAAAACAATCAGGAAAAATGTGTTCGCTTGCCATTCCCTCCGAGGGAATGTTCGCCAGATAGCATTTCTGCCTTTTTTTAATGTGAGCTAATATGTTATAGCAAGTTATATAGGTGTCGATTTATTGGATATTTTGAAGTACACAAGTGCACTTATAAGCACTAGTAAATGCGCACGTGCAACACACGTTAATATTTAGGAATATATTAATTACATGTAAATATTAGGTATGCTATTATTTATGTGTTAATCTGTGATTAGTGCAATATTTGTATGAAAAACATGTTTAACGCTCACCATTGAAGCAGTCTAGGTAGTTGGATTAACTTAGTTCGATGGCCGAGATCAATTGAATCTGCTCCTTTGGGTCTTTTTATATTGGTATAGATATAGATATAGATATAGGTAGGTGTAAGTGTAAGCCCATCCAAGCAATGAATTTTTTTTCTAGGTGGACATAATCATGTTGATACCTCTACTTACTTAAAAAAAGACGATGTTCTTTTTTCAGCCAGGTGGGGTGCTTCCCCCAACCTTTCATCCTTTTTCTAAGCATCATTCCTTGAAAACCATCTTAATTATCCAAATTTTTATCGACTTACTAAATAAACTTATATTTTCTTCGGTAAGCCAATCTTCCATCTTAATTATGTTTTGCTACGCGGAGTGCTTCATCCAATCTTCCATCTTTTTTCTAGGCATCATTGCTTGAAAACAGTCTTAATTGTCCCACATCTTATTGACTTACTAAATAAAGTTATGTTTTCTTTGGTAAGCCAAAAAGTGATTATAAAAAATCCTAAAATATATTTAGTTAAGTACTCCCTCCGTCCGGGTTTATTGGGCCTGTTAGCCACGGCACGAGGACCAAGGAAGAATATTACTGGTAACCATCCGTGACTTACGAAAGTAGCAGCAGCCAATTAGATTAATCTGCAGTTATTCCAAAGCCTCACAGCAGCTAATTGCCCAGCTTTACTTTCGCATGCAACCAACCACAGCGCGAGGCAGTTATTGCTCACAGCTGGTACTTTGCTGTTTTTCCGCATGCAGCGATGAAGCCGAAACGGCAGCCCAATCGTGTGCGTGCTCGGCGGAGCTGATCGAGGAAAGTAAACACGCATATTTAGCGGGGCCTTACAAAAACAGATCAGAGCAAACTTGCTAAGAGGCCCAATAAACCCGGACGGAGGGAGTATATTACAGACAGTATTTGGTAGACATTCGTTTACACCATCATATCAACACGGGCAAGTAAATCACGGTGTAACATAACTATACTGTAGAAAATTTACATTTCGATGTACAGGCAATTATATATAGTGTGTACATAACAAGATTTGGCAAATTCTTCCCGTGTGCGGGGCCACAGCAATTCCTTCTCCAACCTCTCACGGAGCCAAAAAGCAAAGACAAGAAATAGGAAACACGAAAAGGCAAAGGGAAAATTTGCACCTCACATATGGTATGACAGAAAGCGGCAGCGTGGACGCAATAAGGATTGGCCGGACTTGAGATCTTGACACTTTCTGAGAGCAAAAGGCCGAGACGAGACGAAACCGCGGCTGAGGACGGCGGCGCCCGCGGGCCCACCCGCAATGCCGCGGCTTCCCCCCGCTTTCCATTCCTCCTCCGTCCCTTCCTGTGGGGGAACACCTCTCACCTCCTCCGCCGCGCCCCCTGCTTGTTTTGTTTCCATCCTCCTCCCGATCTCTCCTTCTTTATAAAGCACATCGCCTTCCTTTCTCCCTTCCGAGTCGCCACAAAACCGCGGAGAGATAGAGACGGATAGCTAGAGGCGTCGGAAGATACTCGCTGCTCTGCCGCTGCCGCCCCCTTCGCCTTTAGTTGATCTCGCCATGGCTGCCACCGTCGCCGTGGACAACCTCAACCCCAAGGTGGGCGGCGCTTCTCCTGTCTGTTTCTTGCTCTCTTTCTTGGCCCGGTTCCGGTGAGGCGGGGGCGGGTTGCTGATTTGATCTGTGAGTTGGGTGGTCGGCCGTCTACTTCATCGAATTCTTCTTAGTTTCTGTTTCTGATTCAGTCCTCCACTTGTGGTACTAGTTGATACACTTTAACACTTGGTTATTCCGCTTTAGTGTTCTGGATCTGATAGCCCGAAGTTGAAAAGCGAGGATTTTTTTCATGCGAACTTATATATCATCTAAAGATAGATGCTTCGATTTTTATTCAGAGTGAACTGATGAACTCTTGGTCTGCAAATTAGAGTTATTCAACAGTTGATTACAAGTTACTAAAAGTGTAGTCTGTACTGTGGTGTAGTGTTTTTACCTTGATGCTGCCAGTTTCCGCAAAAAAGAGGGAAACCTAGCCAGCAGGTAGATCTCAGTACTATTGAGCTGCTGACATGCAGTTTTTTGTGTGACGGTGCCAGTCAGCATCCTTTTTTTGTTTGGCACTATAAAACAATGTCATCTCTGATGCTGAAGCACGAATATTGTTGTTTAATTGATAGCATAGATGCTGCTCAGTTGCCAATCTGTCACTTGTGAAGATTTTCACATGTTGTAGTTTGGTGACAGAGGATATAAAACATGTGAATTTTTTAGCATGTTGTACTTGGTGACAGGTCATCTGGTGAACGGACCACTTGTCTCTGTGCACATATTCTTTCACCTGGAGTTCTTATTACCGTTACATGGTCATATGACAGCATAGCATTCCGTCCACATCTCTGACATGATTATAAGTTCATTATATTTCCACTTTCAAGAATTTACTGGCATTCTGTGTTCTATTTATTTCAGTCGCTGATTAATTTTGACCATCATTTGATCAACTATGTGCATTTTCTAAAAACTAGCCACTTCGTTAATTATCTTATGACTGTTGCAGGTTTTAAAATGTGAGTATGCTGTGCGTGGAGAGATTGTCATCCATGCTCAGGTATTTCAACTGACCATAATTTGAAATCTCCTGTATTAAGAGTTTAGCTGACTCTTTACTCATGTTTTTAGATAATCACCGAGTCTAATAAAAGTTTAGTAGGATGCAGTTTTATTCTGAATTTTTACAAGGAATTGTTTGGTATTAGTAACAGTTTGATACGCTTTAAAAACAGAGGGTGTTACCTGGCATTTCCTGAAAGACGCCAGTTCATATGCCATTAAGTATTTAGAAATTGATTAACCAGGTAATTTTGTTTTTGTTTCCAGCGCTTGCAGCAACAGCTTCAAACTCAACCAGGATCTCTACCTTTTGATGAGGTACTTAAGCATAGATTCTGAAGGTTAATGTTATAGATAGTTTTCTTGTTATGTTGTACAGTTTCTTAGCTCATTCAACTTCTCCCCTTGCAGATCCTCTATTGTAACATTGGGAACCCACAATCTCTTGGTCAGCAACCAGTTACATTCTTCAGGGAGGTATGTGAATTTTGTACCTGCAGAGTTTAAAGTTTGTTCCGCTGGATTCTTACATGGTATATCGCAGGTTCTTGCACTTTGTGATCATCCAGATCTGTTGAAAAAGGAGGAAATCAAAACATTGTTCAGGTGAATATCGGCATCATTGTAGCTTATCAGCATGAAACAAATGCAAGGAAAACTTAGCATGGGAGGATATTTTGACGGATACCCTTAACCAAGTGCTATCATGCTACTTTTTTGCGATTCAAATGAACTTGAATAATTGCAAAAACACAATTGTGGAGTAAAAGTATTCCATAGGGTGTGATGCACCAATCTGCAACATTTTAAGCCTATACTTAATAAGTGCTAAAAAAATCGATACGTGCTGTGTGTTGCCACTTCTGATTGATTATGAAAAATACCTAGAACTAATTCATTTGTCTTAGCATGAACTTGTTGCATATGATACCTGATGCTTCATCTTGTTGCAGTGCTGATTCTATTTCTCGAGCAAAGCAGATTCTTGCCTTGATACCTGGAAGAGCAACAGGAGCATACAGTCATAGCCAGGTAATCATCTCATTGCACAATTTATTACTTGCTGCAAGGAGAAAAATATGGAATCTTGGATTGACTTTGTTTTTTTACCATTCTCCTAGGGTATAAAAGGACTTCGTGATGCAATTGCTTCTGGGATCGCTTCACGAGATGGATTCCCTGCTAATGCTGATGACATTTTTCTTACAGATGGAGCAAGCCCTGGGGTATGAAATTTACCTCTTCCTTCAATTGCTAGACAATGTATGAACAAACATAAAGTAGTTAACTCTTATATCATGTTACTCTTCCCTTGTTAGGTGCACCTGATGATGCAATTACTGATAAGGAATGAGAAAGATGGCATTCTTGTCCCGATTCCTCAGTACCCTTTGTACTCGGCTTCTATAGCTCTTCATGGCGGATCTCTTGTATGTACCCTCCCTGTTTGCCTGGCAAAAGAAGTTTAAGTTCAGTATAGTTATATTTCATGCGGCGCCAAATCCTGAATTGAGAGCATATCTTTCAGGTCCCATACTATCTCAATGAATCGACGGGCTGGGGTTTGGAAATCTCTGATGTTAAGAAGCAACTCGAAGATGCTCGCTCAAGAGGCATCGACGTTAGGGCTTTGGTGGTTATCAATCCAGGAAATCCTACTGGACAGGTTTATACTCATCTTTTTCCTTCTGGTCCAGAAAACCTTCTTGGTTTGCTTCAACTATGGTGTCCATTCCATATATTTACTTAATGAGTGCATTTCTCGTATTCTTGAAGTGAGTATATTTCTCCATTCTTTTGTAGGATAGCTTAGGAAATAATTATTTTTTGCTTGGGCTGCAATATGTATAAAATATTCTGAACTAAGATAACTAAAAAGGAGAAAAGATCAATAATTGAGATGGTCCATTTATTTATAGGTACTTGCTGAGGAAAACCAATATGACATAGTGAAGTTCTGCAAAAATGAGGGTCTTGTTCTTCTGGCTGATGAGGTGAGGGATAATGGTTCTCAAAGCATCACAACACACTTTGACCTGCTTAATTCTATTGCTTTCGTTGTGTGTAACATTCATGACATTTATCTATTGGTAGGTATACCAAGAGAACATCTACGCTGACAACAAGAAATTCCACTCTTTCAAGAAGATAGTGAGATCCTTGGGATACGGCGAGGATGATCTCCCTCTAGTATCATATCAATCTGTTTCTAAGGGTAAGTAGAAAGATCCACATGCTTATTCTTCTATTCACAGTGTTACTGGTTTGCCAAAACTATTTTGTTGCTACCACCAGGATATTATGGTGAGTGTGGTAAAAGAGGTGGTTACATGGAGATTACTGGCTTCAGTGCTCCAGTAAGAGAGCAGATCTACAAAATAGCATCAGTGAACCTATGTTCCAATATCACCGGCCAGATCCTTGCTAGTCTTGTCATGAACCCACCAAAGGTCAGTGACATGACGCTCCTTAAATTTCTACACCTAAATGAGAATACAAAGTTCTTCAGATAAATACCATTAATGGCTTCTGCAGGCTAGTGATGAATCATATGCTTCATACAAGGCAGAAAAGGATGGGATCCTTGCATCGTTAGCTCGTCGTGCGAAGGTGCACCATGGTTCTATATCTCATACCCCTAAATGCATTGTTGAAAACACGCTAAAATTTGTTACTGCTGCTTTCATGATCACAGGCATTGGAGATTGCATTCAGTAAACTTGAGGGAATTACTTGCAACAAGGCTGAAGGAGCAATGTACCTGTTCCCTCAAATCTGTCTGCCACAGAAGGCGATTGAGGCTGCTAAAGCTGCTAACAAGGCACCTGATGCATTCTATGCTCTTCGTCTCCTTGAGTCGACCGGAATCGTCGTTGTCCCTGGATCTGGATTTGGCCAGGTGAGCAGATTCAATCTTGATACAAATATTATGCTATTTTTATGCCTGTAGTCGCTGATACTATTGGTTCGGACATATAAATGTAGCATTATTTTAACAACCAGGTAACAATCATATGGTTTTCACAAAAAAAAAACAATCATGTAGTTTTCAACATAGATATAGAACTAACATGCCCGAACTGAAATTGCTTGAAGTTAATAAAGCTAGCCGTAAGGCCTTCCCCTCATATGGTTTTATCCATTGTTAGTGAAAGCATTTATGGACTCTGGGTTTTGAACAGTATACATTACATCTACTTTCCCTTCCGGTGTTTTTACCCCAAGCCATAACATTGCCATTGATACTCTGTACTCGACAGGTTCCTGGCACATGGCACTTCAGGTGCACGATCCTTCCGCAGGAGGAGAAGATCCCGGCGATCATCTCCCGCTTCACGGTGTTCCATGAGACGTTCATGGCAGAGTACCGTGACTAAACTGGTGTAACATGTGTGGGATTACATGCAAGCCTCGTGGATTTTCCCTAGGCGTTTTTGCCCCCGTTGACAGCAGTATCATGTAGACGAGACAAAATAAAGCAAATCCATGGCTTGTGTGTGTGATATACTATATCAGATTCTGAAACAGATTACCAGTCTGATGCGTTTGATGGTAAATTGGCAACTGAGATCTTTTTCCCCCACCTTTAGTTTGCTTGATATCTGTGGCGGAATACCTTCGCGTTCTTGGCATTTTCTGAAGTATGGCGAGCAAGGTGCCAAACCTTGGGATGCATCTGTATGGGTGGGAGTATAGGTCTGGGAGTGTAGGTCTTCCAAGCGTTGCAAAACTATGACGTAGCGAGGACACTGAAGAAATGAATGAAGCGTGGTTTCTCGGTGGGGATTTACTCTTGCGATTGGACTTTGGCGCCCGCAGCATGAGCAGGCAAGGACTTTGACCTTGTTTGGAGCGCGAGGCGTCAGATGTAATGTGCGCTCATGTCCTTGATGTCTTCTTGCATGAGGAATAGGTAGGCATGCTTGGTGGAGAAGGGCAAGTACAGAAGCGACTGCAACTTTGTAGACTCGAAATATGTTAGGCGATTTCAAAGGCTAAACTGCACACCGATCAAAATGACCGAGCAAACTACTCTCTCTAAAGTTAGTACAAAGTTGAGACACTTATTTTAGAATGAATGGAGTATAATATTTAGATCAGTGGAGTGGGTGAATAGACTAGGAAAGCTGTTAGCGAGTGCATGGTGGTGGACCTAGGTGTCTAGCCAGAAGAAGACGGAAGCTCCATTTTGTGTTAGGACGAAGGAGATCTAGCGAAGGGGTATATGTTGGTTGACGATGTTGGATAGGAACGAGTTAGGAGTTTGTGATCTTTGAATGACATTAGGGTGATGGAGGAGAGCCAAGAAAATCAAAGAGTATCGGAGGGTAGTAGAAATTGGACGGCAACTTTCATTAGCAAGCGCACATTACGGATGAGGATGCTTTTGAGCCTAAACCGTCAAACTCTTTTGGCTTACAAACATTTTCCCAAGAGAACCTACACAAGACAGATATGCAACCCAAAAGAAGGCACAACTTATAGCATAAGTTTTTCAACTGCATTTTTGGGTAGGCGGAAAACTGACATACTAACCCTTAGAAAGAAGAAGGGCATGCCAACCTGCGAGAAACCAAAGGCGCCTATCTAAGATGGGGTCGGAGATAGAATATGGTAGTTTATAGGGAGAGGGGTAGTGTGAGGTACGTTTGTGGAAAGGAGGATATGGAACAACCTAGTATGTTAATGATTTTGATGTCATTCTTGAGTTGTTCCCATGAAAGGGAGGTGAAGGTTGTTTTTGGAAGATGATGGAGAGGTCAATGGGTAGAGCAAACTCGTCTAGGATTTTTTTTTAGGATTTCAACGCCCCCTGAGATGAGGTCTTAGCTAAGATGAAAGTGGCATCGACGTGTTGTCGCATTCTTGGTGATAGGTGGTCGTAGATGGGGTGGCAGAGAGTGGCTGGATTGTGTTTTCCGTTGTTTAGTTTTAGAATGTTGGCGAAGATGATAAATATATAGGTAGGGTGAAAGGCGATTGATGGTGCAACACACCAAGGGTGACCCATCAGCCAGGAAGCCCGGTGTTGGGCTGGCCTCGTGACTCGGGAGGCTTAGTGGTAGCACGACACCAGGATGCAACCCAGGGCCCGGCTGGGGATCCGGAGATCGTCTTGGCATACAAGCCAAGATGCCATCGGCATGAAGCTGGTTAGGAACCCCCTGAACCCTAGCTCTCGCCCCCTATATAGGGCGACGCTAGGGGTCATACGTTGGGAAACATAGTAGAAAACAAAAAAATTGCTCTACGAACACCCAAGAACAATATGAAGATGCATATAGGGTTTGGATCAACAATCCTTACCGACTCCAGAGTGCAGCAGAAGTAGGCGAGTAGGTGTAGATCGTACTTTGAGTCCCTCGAACCGTTGATAATGATCCTGCAAACCGCCCTCGAACGATCCCTCGAACAGAAGACCGAAAGCACATCTTCTCTACTTGGTTCCAAGTGTACAGTCTTCACAATCCGGCAGCGCTTCGCTATCTAGAGCTAATTGTCACCGGATAATTAGAGGGAGAAGATTAGAACCACACTGGGTTTCTAATTATGAGGACTAGAGAATCTAGGTCAAGATCTAATTGATCAACTAGGATCAACTTAAACTAGATGAGCTAGAGGAGGCTTCAAAACTTGTGTGACTATTATGGCCAATACCTCAAGTATACTAGCCAGCCGCCCCACCCTCCCCTTAACCGCCACGCATCGCCGTGCTTCTTCCGCCCACTGCCATTCCTTTAACCCAGGTAGACCTCGAAGTCTGGCGCCGGCGAACTTGCACCCCCGCCACCCCTAAGATAGACAAGGAGGCTCATGCTCCGCCTGCACCCGTTGCATCCCTAAGGTAGACGAGGAGGCTACTCCGCTGCGGCTGCCTCCGCCGGTGGCCTCGGTGCTCCTCCACAACTGCTGCTTCCTCTCCACCTAATTGACTGAAGCAAATTTAAATTTCAGGCAACTGACATCCAACAAAACTGTTAATTTATCTTGGTTCTACTTATTGTTACAGGGCTGTGAGGCATACGAGAGATTCTTGGCCCCGAGTGTGAGACCTTGGTATCGTAGCAAGCGTGCTGCATCTCCTAAGGAGAGGGAATAGTATAAAGAGGCTGCTTGTATCCGCGTTTTCATTTACAATATATTTCATTGTTTTTCAAATATTTTTCTTGTGAATCTATGTAACTGCCTACAGTGAAGAATATTTATGATCCATTAATTAGTCACCTAAATTTGTTGAATAAAGGAATATTTTGGTCCTCACCAAAATATCAAATATTTAGAAAATATGTGAGAACTATTTTTAAAAGCATTAAATCAATCAATTTTTGACCAAATTTGAATCCGCTTTAGTTTAGTCCGAAAATCCAAAGGCACATCCGCATCCTCTTCCCTTGTTCCAGATTCGCTAGAGATAATTTCATTATTCGCATTCTCTTCGATCATGTCATTTAATCCTCTTAGCTCTTTCTTGCCATTCCCATGGGCTCTGACAATCCTTCCGGCGGTGAAATTGGCCCTTTGATCTCGCTTCCCTTATAAATTACATCAATCTTTTTCAGTTGAATGACGAAATTATTTTTGCAATAAAAAATTAACACATGAAACAAACAATTAAATGAAAATTTTATATTTTCTGTATATGTCATTTAGTGGCATGAAGCAATTGCAATCAGTACATGCACATGGATGTTCTCTCTAGCAATCAGAAAATACTAAAGAAAATCTAGCAATCGGTAATCAGTAGCATTAGGCAATCAGCCTGTGTATAAACTGCCACACAACCCAGTATAACCAGGCCATGTTTAATCAGCATAAGCATCTCAATCTCTCTCTCTCTCTCTCTCTCTCTCTCTCTCTATTCCTCTCCTGACACCACACACAGTAACAACAGCATATCCACATAGAGGCGGCCGCTCAATCTTTCTCGCTTTCTTTCTACTACTCTCTTATTCATCACTCAAACTCTATCTTTGTTGTTCATCCCTGTTCTTTTGATTGAAGGGACAAGAAGTGGACGTTTTGTTGTGGTGATCTTTTTTTATAAGATGGTGAGAATACCTCTTTGCAAACAAAACCTAATCATGTTCATTCTTTTGAAACCTCCAGTGTGTACCACAACATGTACATCCACTGACAACAGAAATATGTGACCAAAACAGAAGTTAATTTCCAATACCGTTGCCAAACAACTGAATTGGAGTATTTCCAAAGAAATACAATTACCCATATCCTCTTACCCGATCAAAACTGGATTCGACATAAGACACATGCACATAAGCCCTCCTATGAACTGAACCATGAAAATTGACCAACTTGTTGCTGATAGTTACATACCAAACAATTGCACAAGCGCATCAAGCCATCTGCAGACAGAGCTGTCGGCACACCTCGCCTTCGGTTGCCCTCACCACCTTGTCACATTCAAACCAGAGTAGAGACAACCACATCGCACATATCTATAGCCAGTACATGCACCGTTATGTGAGGAGATGATGACCACGTCAGGCCCCTCTAGTGCCACCACGGGATGGTCATCCCCCATGAATTGTTGCTGAGAGAAAATATTCAAGTGTCAACTAAATTTCTTAAACCATGAAGTAAACAAATGGCCGCCCAGCACCGTTCTATGTGATATGATAACCAACTTTTGCAATTCTCAGGCGTCAGGTTGATGTACCTGAACCCATGGAATTCTATAGAACCTCGCGAGTAGCGGCGGTGGTGTCATGTGGACGAAGCTCTGCGTGGAAGCACGCTGGGATTCAGGTGACCTCCACCGGATCGATGAGCTGGACATCCTAGCAATATCCTGAGTGAACCATGAGGGAAAATATAACAATTTAAAAAACAACGCAGCTGAAAAAAATTCCTGACGAACTCGAGGATATGGCCGCACCGTCGGACCCAATTCTCATGCTATGCATAGATCGGGCCGTTGCCCTGGATCTCACGCCCCACGCCTATCCTGCATGCCCATTCCGCCATGCGAAAATAAATCAGAGGTGAGAGAAGAGACAAAAAATCAGATGAAGGTGGGAGGTCAGGTGAGACAAAAAAAACAAAAGGTGGAAGATGAAATAAAAAACAGTGGAACGGAAGCTACCAAGTCCTTTTTTAGGAGTAGAGATTTCGAATGCAAAATGCAATACATTCGCTCAATCTAAAGCCTTTTATCAACCAGTCACTTGATGTTGCCCGTGCCTCTCACCGCAGCATGCCGTTTGTGTCGTTAATTGGCACCAGAATAGGCACAACTACAGTCACCTGGAATTCCACGGCATATCAGGATGATTTAGTGTCATATGTAGGATAACATGCATGCATTATATTACATCTTTAAATTGTGTGTAGCATTTCATATTTATGTTTG